AAAAAAACTGCATTGTCAGAGCATTGCTATGCCATTGCTTCTCAGTTGTTTTTAGTAGGTTGCTATGATGTTCTTGGTTGTTACATACTGGTCTGAATTGGAAGAGCTCACCCTTCAAACCTTTGATATTCTGGCCTCTATATAGATATTGCATCCCTATGTCAGAAGTCGCAAGCCTCTGGAGCAACTATGGGTTAAGTGTCTTACACATTGGTGTCTCACAGTGGATTCGAACCTGGTCTCTCACACCAAAGGCATGTGTCTTATCCACTGCGCCATCACTACCCCTAGATTGAAGATTAATGCTAGAGGGAGTGTGATGGCTGATCCTGATTCCTGACCCACTGAGAGGTCTATTGGTGAGAAAGTTTTTAATCCACTGGTAAAGAAGGTTTCCCAGACCCAGTGTTTGTAATTTGTTAATCAATTCATCTGGACTGTCTGGGTTAATGGAGTTGAATGCAGAGCTATAGTCAATAAATAGCATTCAATAAATAGCGATTAAATGTAAAGAACGCTGCTGTGCCGTCTATGTTGGATCAGACAGGAATGGTGCAACACACGGACTGTGGGTCGAACATGTATGGGCGAATCAATCCGGTTGCCATTTTACAACATTGGACGTTTTCAGAACAATTTCCCCCAAGCGCATCGACGGGTGAGTCGAAACTCATTATAATATGCAAAACTGTTATCCACTCACAGCAGTGGGCGTTTACTTCCAAGTCCAAGTCAGCTAGGCTCAAAACTAGGGTAGAAAATAGCCTATTGCTTATTCATTTTGATGTTTTTGAATGCAAAAACCAAGCGAATGTCATAAGTTGACCTCAGACAACAATGTAATAAAATTTAAAAAGCCAGTTCATGACCCCTTTAAACGAAAATGAAAAAGATTCTTGTTCTGCACCCAATTCCTGTTTCTCCGCGCCGCGGCAGGGAAGATATGCTCAAGCCATGTGTGCAGATGTAAATACGGCCACTGTACCTGTAGCTGTTGTGTCTTCTGTCACCTTTGAGGATGATAATATAGGTGTTCGTGAAGAAGCAACATCATGTACTAAATTGTCAAACTTTTGCTAAATATTGAAAGTCACCTATAGATTATCTTTCTAAGGGACATCGCAAACACACTGTATTGATTCACGATTCATTGATTCACGAATTCCCTTCATTATTCTCAGATTGCCTTTCGCAAACCAATTGATGTGATGATGCTGAATCAACACCGACTGATTTTAAAGACAATAGCCAAAATGCATAATTTCCCTGTTATCACTGTAAAGCTGATTTGAAACCATCTGTATTATATAAAGCCCTATATACTGTAAATGAAGGTGATTGACACTTTGACCTCATATGAGCAATACTCTTGGGGTTTTTAGAGATGAGCTTGTACCTGGCCAGAAGAGGGCAGACTTGACTTCACTGTAAAATACAGTTGTTGGACAAACTCTTTAAGGATTTATTGCTTTATTAGGCATCTGTAATAATATTTAAATTTTGGGGTTAACTATCATTTTAAGTTTTGTATTGCGGGCTGGTATACAAAGAAAATAAACCTTGTAATAAAAACGTAAAAATGTTAATTAATCTATCGTTGCGATTTAACTCCTCATGCTGCTGATTAGAATTCAGTGCCATAACTGCCATTACTTTTCTCAGTTCATCATCATAGCATAATTTACAAAAAATAAAATAAAAACACCTTTTGAAAAGACATGGAGGTACCAAAATTACAGGACAATTATTCAAAGAATATCACTTTGAAGCCTCATTCAAAAGGAACCTGTCACCACAGAGATAAAACAATCCTACAATTATATGGTGTGAACATTGTAGGTTGTGCAATGTTATTCAAAAGCAAAGAATGTGGCCATGTGACATTCCTCTCATGCTGACAATAACAAGGAAAGGTGTGAAGGTGGAAGAAGTTACTCGGGCAGTGACACAGAATTTGCTCGTTTAAAAAATATGACTGAAAATGAATGAAATGCTTTGTAATTTGTCCATGTTGAAAGACCTCTTCAGGGGATACTCCACTTTTTTTTGGAAATAGGCTCATTTTACAACTCCCCCAGAGTTAAACAGTTGGATTTTACTATTTTCGTATCCATTCAGCCGATTTTCAGATTTTTTGAAGAATATCAGTAACCAGACAGTTTCTGGTCTCATTGACTTCCATAGTAGGAAAAAAATATACTATGTATGATCATTTAATTTTTACCAGAATCTTATGACAATCATAAGTAAGTAAAATGCGTGCTAATCTTATGCTCTCTGTTGAGAAACAAGCTTACTGGCAATTAAATCTAAACTAATCTAAACTATAGCACTTATTTACACACACACACACACACACACAAAATGCATGTCTAAGCATAAGATTTATGTATTTGAATTGCATATCAAATTTTAATCCATTTGGATTACATAGTTTTAACAAAAACCATTTAATATTCTGAATGTACTGAAGGAACTGAGTTAATGCTGACTGAAGAAAAGAGTTAACGCAAGAACTATGACTGTCTTCTGCTTCAGTCTTAGATGAAATCAACTGAAGATAAAATAAGACATTGAATCTCTCAAGATCTCGGCAGAAGAGGCTTAAACAACTCACTTATTACTAACCAGATTTCCTTAATTTAATTTCCGTTTTGAAATCAACAGTTGCATTTTAAGTCACCAGGATGGTGGTCAGTGTTTGCTTTAGTTGGACTCTTGACCCTTAATGCTATTTACATTTATTCATTTAGCTGAAGCTTTTATCCAAAGCGACTTACAATTGCTATATACTGTATGTCAGAGGTCGCACGCCTCTGGAGCTACTAAGGGTTAAGTGTCTTGCTCAGGGACACATTGGTGTCTCGCAATGGATTCGAACCCTGGTCTCTCACAAAGGCTATAATATGAGATTTTCTCTGGCTGCTTGTAACTGTGTGTTTATAAAACACATTAGTTGTAGCAAAAAAGCCAAGAGAAATGAGATCAGGTGATGTTGGCTGTTTATTGATGATTATGATGACAATAATAATAAAGTAATTGCCTGAATCTCTGATCTTATTCAGTGTCTAGTGCATTGATTATTTCAGACTTGTGTTCAATTCAATTATTGTTTTATTCATAGTGTAATCCACTAGATTATACAGTATGAGATCTATCAGTGTTGTTTATCAAATTATATACTTGCTTTTTAAAAAATATTAAGTGCACAAAAACCTTTAATCTATGGCTTTACTCAGATGCACACAGACATCAAGTAACAACATATGAATCTCAACAATGGTGACAATCAAACAAAATATCCTGATAATCAGATCGACTCTGAGCATAAAACAAGCTACAAAAAATCCAGCTGCATAATTTGTTAATGCTGCAATGCATGCTGGGAGAAATTGGTGAGTTTTGATTGGTGGTACCCTGCATGCACTGTAGCATGAATCATTTGATTTTTGTCACCATTGTTGAGAGTCATATGCTAATTCTTGATGTCTAAGAAATAATGTAAAGAAAAAGTTTTATAAGAAAAAGTTTAAGTTATTTATATTATTTGATTAACACTGTTGGATTTCACACTGTCAAGTCACATAGCTACTATAATGAATAAAAATAAATTACTCAAAGTATTTGATACTCAATAAGATGAGTGATAAAGGCCACAACATGCTGATTTCATCCTCAATAATAAACAGCCAACATCACCTGACCTCATTTTCTCTTGGCTTTTTGCTACAACTAATGTGCTTTATAAAAACACACAGTTACAACAGCGAGAGAAAATATAATATTATATTGCTCTCTATATAGCGCTATAAAAAAGCGCTATATAAATAAATGTGACTTGACTTGACTCTCCCAGATATTACGCTCATCTTAGAGCCCAACTAAAGCAAACACTGATCACTGCATGGTGACTTAAAATACAACTGTTGATTTCATTAAAACGGAAATTAAATAAAGTAAATTCGGTTAGTAATAAGTGAAGCTGGTAGTGCTGATTTTGGAGTTGTTTAATCCTCCTCTTTAGAGATCTTTAGAGATTTAATGTCTTATTTTATGTTCAGTTGATAACTTCTAAGGCTGTGGCTGAAATCAGTTGTAGTTCTTGCTTTTCTCTTTTCTTCGGGGATTCTGCTTAACAGCAGGTGTTCATAATTAACGCCCAATTATCATTAATTATTGCCTTCAACACTGCTTCAATGGTACTTTCGCTCAGTAGTGTGCACACATATGAACACTGAGCAGTGTTAATTTAACATTGGCGTTTTTCTGTGTACTATTACATAAATCTTACCCGTTTCATTTACGTATGACTGACAAATATGAATCACATTCAGTTTATTAGTACAACTATAATATTCTCTGTTTAATTTATATATGACTGAAAAATGTGAATTACATTCAGATTATTAATTGGTTATTTTTGAGTAGCTGAGAGTATTTGCATATCACTAATAACAAACAATATAAAAATGCAGCTACCTGAATAAAGTGGGTGATGTAAAAAAATATGCAAAAACACTTTTTAAAGAAAAAGTTTTTGTTTAAAGACACTTTCATTACTTTTCCCTGTCATTTACCCATTCTGGCTATACAATTTCTATAAAAAATATAAATCAATAAAATTGCTAGTAGGTGGTTTTAGGTGGCTACATAATAAAAGGAACATAATATTATGTGGACCACTCACCTGTCAGAGGTGTCTTGCGCTAAAAAAAATCCTTTAATTAATTTAACTCATTAATACAAAATGTCATGTTACTTTAAACAAAAACAGGCCTCATTAATGCATAAAATCTTCTCATAGTCCATAATTTTTTAATTATTCCCTCAGAGATTCCGTTTGAAATGTAAGAAACTGTGCACAGGTTAAAGTTGCATCAAGACTTTATTTAAATTAACATTAAACCTTTTACATTTTAAATAAATATACATACTTGTAGTATACATTTTTTTAAATTAACATATATTATAATTTCATTGTGGATATATACACATGCATTTATTTAGATGTAAACAAATACATTAAAAATGTGTTTCATATTTTTTCTGAACTCTTGATTTTCTCTTTCTCTTTCTCGTTTCATATGAAACTATTTTGGATTATATGAACTCAATAAATATGTTTGTTTGATTACTAAAATAAATAAAAAGATCTTGCAATTTCATATACTAGACAAAAGGAAAAGATCAAAATAGGATTGATTTCGACAGCCTCTAATTCATATATAATAATTTTTCTCTTTACAAATTGCGCCCTTGAAAATCAATGCAATTTATATCAATCATATGCCATCTATTTTGGTATTGCCATCTCATATATATTTTAAGAGTGAGCAACAACAGTAAATAATGCATTATAAACATACAAAGCATGCTTTAACAAATTCGTTAGTTGTAAATCCTTAGTTGACTCATTGTTAAAGGATTTAAAGACAACCTCTTAATATTTTTGCCATAATAAAGAGCCATGTTATTTGAAGCAGACTGGATTCAATCTTTAATCCACTTGAAGATGTAGTTAAAGCAGCCACAGTCGAAGTTGAAGCAGCTACAGTCGTAGTAGCAATAACTGTAAGAAAAAGATGAACAAATTAGATAAACAGAATATAAGATACTATGACCTTTTTTATTTCATTCCAGTCCAAATGTACTATATGTTTTGTCTGCCATATTCTTATATACCAAAAGAGCAAGACAGTTTCTGAGGCCTTCCAAATGTGCAAGATATGTTTTAAAATGGAAATTTACCTGAACCATTGACTGAAATTGATGCAGGAAGGATCTTCAGTGGATCGGCACCTCCTTGTAACACTGCTGACAGAAGGGTGTCTAAAACCTCTTGAACAGTTGGGATCTGTGCCGTGGAGTTGAAAACCAGTTGTGTTTCTGTGATGATTGACCCTTGGCTGGAATATACAGTATAGAAGAATATCATATATGGTAGGATTCCTTAATATGAGTATATTACCAATATATAAAAGTACTGTATACTCCATTCTCTGTTTTTTTTTTCAAGAACACTTCTACACACAGCGCACATAAAAAGCAAAGGTTGCAATATTTCATTTTTACCTGAATCTTTTGACAAGCACTCTGATGAAGGAAGAAGGATATTTCTTTTTGTAGATTGGTTCAATCTGTAACATACAGGCAGTCACAACCAAAATCAGAATTAACTTTTTGTTTGTTTGTTTGTGGAACAAAGGTTTATGAAAACTGTTGATATCCAGAGACATATTATAAATAAAAAAGTGTGTCATTTATTTATGGTAAACTAATCAATTTAAACAATAACAATACCCTAACAAACTCCTGGATTTGGTCTAAAATATCTGTTATCTCTTCTCTTAAGTACAGTTTAGATATTTTCTAGTTTTCATGTTAATTTTAACTCACCTCGGCAATGACGAGCAGAACCCTCTCCTTGAAGGCCGGAGAGTTTGAATCGTTGAGTTCAGGAATAAATGTGTCCTGAGAGCGGAAAATCAGGTCTGTCATATACATGGGTACAGATTTCGTAGTTGTAATTGTAACCACTGTAGTTGCCAAAATTGTCAAGGGTCTTGTTGCTGTTGTTTTTGTGGTTGAGGCAGTTGTGTAAGTGGTTAGAGCAGTGGTTGTATTAGTGGTTGAGGCAACTGACTTTGTTGATGTTCTAGTTGTACTACCAGTCGTAGTGGTAAAGGTAGTTGAAGAGGGAGTCAATGAAGTAAAAACAGAAGTTGTTGGTTTTGTTCTTGTGTTAACTGCTGTACTTGTGATACTTGTTATGAATGCTGACAATGTTATTGTTGGTCTTGTAGATATTTTGGTTGTACTAACAGTTGTTGTGGCTGGTGTAGTCGTGTCAGCTGTTCTAACAGTTGTGCTCTCAGTTGTTGTGACTGGTTTAGTTGTCTCTTTTGTAATAACAGTTGTGCTCTCAGTTGTTGTGGCTGGTGTAGTTGTCTCTGTTGTACTAACAGTTGTGCTTCCAGTTGTTGTGGCTGGTTTAGTTGTCTCAGTTGTACTAACAGTTGTGCTCTCAGTTGTAGTGGCTGGTTTAGTTGTCTCTGTTGTACTAACAGTTGTGCTCTCAGTTGTTGTGACTGGTTTAGTTGTCTCTTTTGTAATAACAGTTGTGCTCTCAGTTGTTGTGGCTGGTGTAGTTGTCTCTGTTGTACTAATAGTTGTGCTTCCAGTTGTTGTGGCTGGTTTAGTTGTCTCAGTTGTACTAACAGTTGTGCTCTCAGTTGTAGTGGCTGGTGTAGTTGTCTCTGTTGTACTAACAGTTGTGCTTCCAGTTGTTGTGGCTGGTTTAGTTGTCTCAGTTGTACTAACAGTTGTGCTCTCAGTTGTAGTGGCTGGTGTAGTTGTCTCAGTTGTACTAACAGTTGAGCTCTCAGTTGTGGCTGGTGTAGTTGTTAAAGTTGTACTAACAGTTGTGCTCTCAGTTGTTGTGGCTGAGGACAATTCTGTTATTATTGGTTCTGGTGTAGTTGTTAAAGTTGTACTAACAGTTGTGCTCTCAGTTGTTGTGGCTGAGGACAATTCTGTTATTATTGGTTCTGGTGTAGTTGTTTCGGTTGTAGTAACAGTTGTGCTGTCAGTTGTTGTGACTGGTGTAGTTGTTTTAGTTGTAGTAACAGTTGTGCTCTCAGTTGTTGTGACTGGTTTAGTTGTTTCAGCTGTACTAACAGTTGTGCTCTCAGTTGTTGTGGCTGGTGTAGTTGTCTCAGCTGTACTAACAGTTGTGCTCTCAGTTGTTGTGGCTGGTGTAGTTGTCTCTGTTGTACTAACAGTTGTGCTCTCAGTTGTAGTGGCTGGTGTAGTTGTCTCAGTTGTACGAACAGTTGTGCTCTCAGTTGTAGTGGCTGGTGTAGTTGTCTCTGTTGTACTAACAGTTGTGCTCTCAGTTGTGGCTGGTGTAGTTGTTTCTGTTGTACTAACAGTTGAGCTGTCAGTTGTTGTGGCCGGTGTAGTTGTTAAAGTTGTACTAACAGTTGTGCTCTCAGTTGTTGTGGCTGAGGACAATTCTGTTATTATTGGTTCTGGTGTAGTTGTTTCAGTTGTAGTAACAGTTGTGCTGTCAGTTGTTGTGACTGGTGTAGTTGTTTTAGTTGTAGTAACAGTTGTGCTCTCAGTTGTTGTGACTGGTTTAGTTGTTTCAGCTGTACTAACAGTTGTGCTCTCAGTTGTAGTGGCTGGTGTAGTTGTCTCTGTTGTACTAACAGTTGTGCTCTCAGTTGTTGTGACTGGTGTAGTTGTCTCAGTTGTACTCTCAGTTGTTGTGGCTGGTGTAGTTGTCTCTGTTGTACTAACAGTTGTGCTCTCAGTTGTTGTGGCTGGTGTAGTTGTCTCTGTTGTACTAACAGTTGTGCTCTCAGTTGTTGTGACTGGTGTAGTTGTCTCAGCTGTACTAACAGTTGTGCTGTCAGTTGTTGTGATTGGTTTAGTTGTCTCTGTTGTACTAACAGTTGTGCTCTCAGTTGTTGTGATTGGTTTAGTTGTCTCTGTTGTACTAACAGTTGAGCTCTCAGTTGTAGTGGCTGGTGTAGTTGTCTCTGTTGTACTAACAGTTGTGCTGTCAGTTGTTGTGATTGGTTTAGTTGTCTCTGTTGTACTAACAGTTGTGCTCTCAGTTGTTGTGATTGGTTTAGTTGTCTCTGTTGTACTAACAGTTGAGCTCTCAGTTGTAGTGGCTGGTGTAGTTGTCTCTGTTGTACTAACAGTTGTGCTGTCAGTTGTTGTGATTGGTTTAGTTGTCTCTGTTGTACTAACAGTTGTGCTCTCAGTTGTTGTGATTGGTTTAGTTGTCTCTGTTGTACTAACAGTTGTGCTCTCAGTTGTTGTGATTGGTTTAGTTGTCTCTGTTGTACTAACAGTTGTGCTCTCAGTTGTTGTGGCTGGTGTAGTTGTCTCTGTTGTACTAACAGTTGTGCTCTCAGTTGTTGTGATTGGTTTAGTTGTCTCTGTTGTACTAACAGTTGTGCTCTCAGTTGTTATGACTGGTGTAGTTGTCTCAGCTGTACTAACAGTTGTGCTGTCAGTTGTTGTGATGGTTTAGTTGTCTCTGTTGTACTAACAGTTGTGCTCTCAGTTGTTGTGATTGGTTTAGTTGTCTCTGTTGTACTAACAGTTGAGCTCTCAGTTGTAGTGGCTGGTGTAGTTGTCTCTGTTGTACTAACAGTTGTGCTGTCAGTTGTTGTGATTGGTTTAGTTGTCTCTGTTGTACTAACAGTTGTGCTCTCAGTTGTTGTGATTGGTTTAGTTGTCTCTGTTGTACTAACAGTTGAGCTCTCAGTTGTAGTGGCTGGTGTAGTTGTCTCTGTTGTACTAACAGTTGTGCTGTCAGTTGTTGTGATTGGTTTAGTTGTCTCTGTTGTACTAACAGTTGTGCTCTCAGTTGTTGTGATTGGTTTAGTTGTCTCTGTTGTACTAACAGTTGTGCTCTCAGTTGTTGTGATTGGTTTAGTTGTCTCTGTTGTACTAACAGTTGTGCTCTCAGTTGTTGTGGCTGGTGTAGTTGTCTCTGTTGTACTAACAGTTGAGCTCTCAGTTGTTGTGACTGGTGTAGTTGTCTCTGTTGTACTAACAGTTGTGCTCTCAGTTGTAGTGGCTGGTGTAGTTGTCTCTGTTGTACTAACAGTTGTGCTCTCAGTTGTAGTGGCTGGTGTAGTTGTCTCTGTTGTACTAACAGTTGTGCTCTCAGTTGTTGTGACTGGTTTAGTTGTCTCAGTTGTACTAACAGTTGTGCTCTCAGTTGTTGTGGCTGGTGTAGTTGTTTCAGTTGTACTAACAGTTGTGCTCTCAGTTGTTGTGACTGGTTTAGTTGTCTCTGTTGTACTAACAGTTGTGCTCTCAGTTGTAGTGGCTGGTGTAGTTGTCTCTGTTGTACTAACAGTTGTGCTCTCAGTTGTTGTGACTGGTTTAGTTGTCTCTGTTGTACTAACAGTTGTGCTCTCAGTTGTAGTGGCTGGTGTAGTTGTCTCTGTTGTACTAACAGTTGTGCTCTCAGTTGTAGTGGCTGGTGTAGTTGTCTCTGTTGTACTAACAGTTGTGCTCTCAGTTGTTGTGACTGGTTTAGTTGTCTCAGTTGTACTAACAGTTGTGCTCTCAGTTGTTGTGGCTGGTGTAGTTGTTTCAGTTGTACTAACAGTTGTGCTCTCAGTTGTTGTGACTGGTTTAGTTGTCTCTGTTGTACTAACAGTTGTGCTCTCAGTTGTTGTGTCTGGTGTAGTTGTCTCAGTTGTACTAACAGTTGTGCTCTCAGTTGTAGTGGCTGGTGTAGTTGTTTCAGCTGTACTAACAGTTGTGCTCTCAGTTGTAGTGGCTGGTGTAGTTGTCTCTGTTGTACTAACAGTTGTGCTCTCAGTTGTTGTGGCTGGTGTAGTTGTGTCTGTTGTACTAACAGTTGTGCTCTCAGTTGTTGTGGCTGGTGTAGTTGTTTCAGCTGTACTAACAGTTGTGCTCTCAGTTGTAGTTGCTGGTGTAGTTGTCTCTGTTGTACTAACAGTTGTGCTCTCAGTTGTGGCTGGTGTAGTTGTCTCTGTTGTACTAACAGTTGTGCTCTCAGTTGTTGTGACTGGTTTAGTTGTCTCAGTTGTACTAACAGTTGTGCTCTCAGTTGTTGTGGCTGGTGTAGTTGTTTCAGCTGTACTAACAGTTGTGCTCTCAGTTGTAGTGGCTGGTGTAGTTGTCTCTGTTGTACTAACAGTTGTGCTCTCAGTTGTTGTGGCTGGTGTAGTTGTGTCTGTTGTACTAACAGTTGTGCTCTCAGTTGTTGTGGCTGGTGTAGTTGTTTCAGCTGTACTAACAGTTGTGCTCTCAGTTGTTGTGGCTGGTGTAGTTGTTTCAGTTGTACTAACAGTTGTGCTCTCAGTTGTAGTTGCTGGTGTAGTTGTCTCTGTTGTACTAACAGTTGTGCTCTCAGTTGTTGTGGCTGGTGTAGTTGTCTCTGTTGTACTAACAGTTGTGCTCTCAGTTGTTGTGACTGGTTTAGTTGTCTCAGTTGTACTAACAGTTGTGCTCTCAGTTGTTGTGGCTGGTGTAGTTGTCTCAGTTGTACTAACAGTTGTGCTCTCAGTTGTGACTGGTGTAGTTGTTTCTGTTGTACTAACAGTTGAGCTGTCAGTTGTTGTGACTGGTGTAGTTGTCTCTGTTGTACTAACAGTTGTGCTTCAGTTGTTGTGGCTGGTTTAGTTGTCTCAGTTGTACTAACAGTTGTGCTCTCAGTTGTTGTGTCTGGTGTAGTTGTCTCAGTTGTACTAACAGTTGTGCTCTCAGTTGTAGTGGCTGGTGTAGTTGTTTCAGCTGTACTAACAGTTGTGCTCTCAGTTGTAGTGGCTGATGTAGTTGTCTCTGTTGTACTAACAGTTGTGCTCTCAATTGTTGTGGCTGGTGTAGTTGTCTCTGTTGTACTAACAGTTGTGCTCTCAGTTGTTGTGGCTGGTGTAGTTGTCTCTGTTGTACTAACAGTTGTGCTCTCAGTTGTTGTGGCTGGTGTAGTTGTCTCTGTTGTACTAACAGTTGTGCTCTCAGTTGTTGTGACTGGTTTAGTTGTCTCAGTTGTACTAACAGTTGTGCTCTCAGTTGTTGTGGCTGGTGTAGTTGTCTCTGTTGTATTAAGAGTTGTGCTTCCAGTTGTTGTGGCTGGTTTAGTTGTCTCAGTTGTACTAACAGTTGTGCTCTCAGTTGTTGTGGCTGGTGTAGTTGTTCTGTTGTACTAAGAGTTGTGCTTCAGTTGTTGTGGCTGGTTTAGTTGTCTCAGTTGTACTAACAGTTGTGCTCTCAGTTGTTGTGGCTGGTGTAGTTGTCTCTGTTGTACTAACAGTTGTGCTCTCAGTTGTTGTGACTGGTTTAGTTGTCTCAGTTGTACTAACAGTTGTGCTCTCAGTTGTTGTGGCTGGTGTAGTTGTCTCTGTTGTACTAACAGTTGTGCTCTCAGTTGTTGTGGCTGGTTTAGTTGTCTCAGTTGTACTAACAGTTGTGCTCTCAGTTGTTGTGGCTGGTGTAGTTGTCTCTGTTGTACTAACAGTTGTGCTCTCAGTTGTTGTGACTGGTTTAGTTGTCTCAGTTGTACTAACAGTTGTGCTCTCAGTTGTAGTGGCTGGTGTAGTTGTCTCTGTTGTACTAACAGTTGTGCTCTCAGTTGTTGTGGCTGGTTTAGTTGTCTCAGTTGTACTAACAGTTGTGCTCTCAGTTGTAGTGGCTGGTGTAGTTGTCTCTGTTGTACTAACAGTTGTGCTCTCAGTTGTTGTGGCTGGTGTAGTTGTCTCTGTACTAACAGTTGTGCTCTCAGTTGTTGTGGCTGGTGTAGTTGTTTCAGCTGTACTAACAGTTGTACTCTCAGTTGTTGTGGCTGGTGTAGTTGTCTCAGTTGTACTAACAGTTGTGCTCTCAGTTGTTTGTGGCTGGTGTAGTTGTTTCAGTTGTACTAACAGTTGTGCTCTCAGTTGTTGTGGCTGGTGTAGTTGTCTCTGTTGTACTAAGAGTTGTGCTTCAGTTGTTGTGGCTGGTTTAGTTGTCTCAGTTGTACTAACAGTTGTGCTCTCAGTTGTAGTGGCTGGTTAGTTGTTTCAGCTGTACTAACAGTTGAGCTGTCAGTTGTTGTGGCTGGTGTAGTTGTTTCAGCTGTACTAACAGTTGTGCTCTCAGTTGTAGTGGCTGGTGTAGTTGTTCTCAGTTGTACTAACAGTTGTGCTCTCAGTTGTTGTGGCTGGTGTAGTTGTCTCTGTTGTACTAAGAGTTGTGCTTCCAGTTGTTGTGGCTGGTTTAGTTGTCTCAGTTGTACTAACAGTTGTGCTCTCAGTTGTTGTGGCTGGTGTAGTTGTGTCAGTTGTACTAACAGTTGTGCTCTCAGTTGTTGTGGCTGGTGTAGTTGTCTCAGTTGTACTAACAGTTGTGCTCTCAGTTGTTGTGGCTGGTGTAGTTGTCTCAGTTGTACTAACAGTTGTGCTCTCAGTTGTTGTGGCTGGTGTAGTTGTCTCTGTTGTACTAACAGTTGTGCTCTCAGTTGTAGTGGCTGGTGTAGTTGTCTCTGTTGTACTAAAGTTGTGCTTCCAGTTGTTGTGGCTGGTTTAGTTGTCTCAGTTGTACTAACAGTTGTGCTCTCAGTTGTTGTGGCTGGTGTAGTTGTCTCTGTTGTACTAAGAGTTGTGCTTCCAGTTGTTGTGCTGGTTTAGTTGTTTCAGTTGTGCTAACAGTTGTGCTCTCAGTTGTTGTGGCTGGTGTAGTTGTGTCAGTTGTACTAACAGTTGTGCTCTCAGTTGTTGTGGCTGGTGTAGTTGTTTCAGTTGTACTAACAGTTGTGCTCTCAGTTGTTGTGACTGGTTTAGTTGTCTCAGTTGTACTAACAGTTGTGCTCTCAGTTGTTGTGGCTGGTGTAGTTGTCTCTGTTGTACTAACAGTTGTGCTCTCAGTTGTAGTGGCTGGTGTAGTTGTCTCTGTTGTACTAACAGTTGTGCTCTCAGTTGTTGTGGCTGGTGTAGTTGTCTCTGTTGTACTAACAGTTGTGCTTCCAGTTGTTGTGGCTGGTTTAGTTGTCTCAGTTGTACTAACAGTTGTGCTCTCAGTTGTTGTGGCTGGTGTAGTTGTCTCAGTTGTACTAACAGTTGAGCTCTCAGTTGTAGTGGCTGGTGTAGTTGTTCTGTTGTACTAACAGTTGTGCTCTCAGTTGTAGTGGCTGGTGTAGTTGTTTCAGCTGTAGTAATAGTTGAGCTGTCAGTTGTTGTGACTGGTGTAGTTGTCTCTGTTGTACTAACAGTTGTACTCTCAGTTGTTGTGGCTGGTGTAGTTGTTTCAGCTGTAGTAATAGTTGAGCTGTCAGTTGTTGTGACTGGTGTAGTTGTTTCTGTTGTACTAACAGTTGTGCTCTCAGTTGTTGTAGTTGTTTCTGTTGTACTAACAGTTGTGCTCTCAGTTGTTGTGGCTGGTGTAGTTGTTTCAGCTGTAGTAATAGTTGAGCTGTCAGTTGTTGTGGCTGGTTTAGTTGTTTCAGTTGTAGCAATTGACTCTGTTGTAGTATATGCTGCACTAGTGATTGATGAAACATCAATAGTTGGTGTGACTGTTGAGTATTCTGTTGTTGGTTCAGTAGTAGAGGTCGTTCCATTTCCATATTCTGATACAAGAAAAAAATTAACAGTTTTTTGGAACTCATGACAGCACTGACAAAGGAAATACACTTTATAAAGATGGATTTTTTAGAACACTTGTGTAAATGTATAGTAATTTCCAAATAATTTTAAGTTCAGTTAAAACTATCTTTATTTTAGCACTTTGTTTTAACTGTACATGGTCTCACACACACACACACACACACACACAGATATATATATATATAATATATATAGAGAGAGAGAGAGAGAGAGAGAGAGAGAGAGAGAGAGAGAGAGAGAGAGAGAGAGAGAGAGCTTCTGACAAATTGCTTCTGTGCGTTATCAGACTTACCTAAACCATTTATTTTAACTGAATTAGATGTTATTTTCAGGGCCTTGACAGTTGCTGTATCACTCAATAAGTCATCTGCAATTTGTTCATTTGATGGCACATACTCTACAGCGTTGAAAGTGAGTATTGTTGTGGTAATGACTGACCCCTTTCTGGAATACATTTTTTAGAAATACTGTCATTTGGAAACCTATTAATCACATGTTCTTGGCACTTCATATAAAATATAAAAATAGGCAATGTATATAAAATATTCAGCTTTACAATATAAAGTATTTACCTGAATTCTTTGACGGTGACTCTTAGGAAGGAGTTGTATTTCGTGTAGATAGCTTGAAGCTGTAACAAAATACAGACAGTTACAATAAACACTTATGAATAGGCTATGCATGATACATTACATATCTTATGTTTGTAATTAAAAGATAATTGCTTTTTTTATCCATTTAAGGATTATATATTGAACAGAGTATGTAGGTTTTCACTCACATAATTCTGAACAAGCTGAGTCCTGTTGTTAAACCCCTGGGACTTTGAGTCACTAAGGTCATCTGTAAATTCATCTTCAGACACAAACTCCAGGATTATTTGTACTACAGCAGGAGTTGTTGTGGCTGGTGTAGTTGTTTCAGCTGTACTAACAGTTGTGCTCTCAGTTGTTGTGGCTGGTGTAGTTGTTTCAGCTGTACTAGCAGTTGTGCTCTCAGTTGTTGTGGCTCGTGTAGTTGTTACAGTTGTACTAACATTTGTGTTCTCAGTTGTTGTGGCTGGTGTAGTTGTTTCAGCTGTACTAGCAGTTGTACTAACAGTTGTTGTGGCTGGTGTAGTTGTTCCAGTTGTACTAACAGTTGTGCTTTCAGTTGTTGTGGCTGGTGTAGTTGTTACAGTTGTACTAACAGTTGTGTTCTCAGTTGTTGTGGCTGGTGTAGTTGTTTCAGCTGTACTAGCAGTTGTACTAACAGTTGTTGTGGCTGTTGTAGTTGTCTCTGTTGTACTAACAGTTGTGCTCTCAGTTGTTGTGGCTGGTTTAGTTGTCTCTGTTGTACTAACAGTTGTGCTCTCAGTTGTTGTGGCTGGTGTAGTTGTTTCAGCTGTAGTAACAGTTGTGCTCTCAGTTGTTGTGGCTGGTGTAGTTGTTTCAGTTGTACTAACAGTTGTGTTCTCAGTTGTTGTGGCTGGTGTAGTTGTTTCAGTTGTACTAACAGTTGTGTTCTCAGTTGTTGTGGCTGGTGTAGTTGTTTCAGCTGTACTAGCAGTTGTGCTAACAGTTGTTGTGGCTGGTGTAGTTGTTTCAGTTGTAATAACAGTTGTTGTCGCTGGTGTAGTTGTTTCAGTTGTACTAACAGTTGTGCTCTCAGTTGTTGTGGCTGGTGTAGTTGTTTCAGTTGTACTAACAGTTGTGTTCTCAGTTGTTGTGGCTGGTGTAGTTGTTTCAGCTTTACTAGCAGTTGTGCTCTCAGTTGTTGTGGCTGGTGTAGTTGTTTCAGTTGTACTAACAGTTGTGCTCTCAGTTGTTGTGGCTGGTGTAGTTGTTTCAGCTGTACTAACAGTTGTGCTCTCAGTTGTTGTGGCTGGTGTAGTTGTCTCTGTTTACTAACAGTTGTGCTCTCAGTTGTTGTGGCTGGTGTAGTTGTTTCAGCTGTACTAACAGTTGTGCTTTCAGTTGTTGTGGCTGGTGTAGTTGATTCAATTGTACTAACAGTTGTGCTCTCAGTTGTTGTGGCTGGTGTAGTTGTTTCAGCTGTACTAACAGTTGGCTCTCAGTTGTTGTGGCTGGTGTAGTTGTTTCAGCTGTAGTAATAGTTGAGCTGTCAGTTGTTGTGACTGGTGTAGTTGTTTCTGTTGTACTAACAGTTGTGCTCTCAGTTGTTGTGGCTGGTGTAGTTGTTTCTGTTGTACTAACAGTTGTGCTCTCAGTTGTTGTGGCTGGTGTAGTTGTTTCTGTTGTAATAATAGTTGTGCTCTCAGTTGTGACTGGTGTAGTTGTTTCAGTTGTAGTAACAGTTGTTGTGGCTGAGGACAATTCTGTTATTATTGGTTCTGGTGTAGTTGTTTCAGTTGTACTAACAGTTGTGCTCTCAGTTTTTGTGGCTGGTGTAGTTGTTTCAGCTGTAGTAACAGTTGAGCTGTCAGTTGTTGTGACTGGTGTAGTTGTTTCTGTTGTACTAACAGTTGTGCTCTCAGTTGTTGTGGCTGGTGTAGTTGTTTCAGCTGTACTAACAGTTGTGCTCTCAGTTGTTGTGACTGGTGTAGTTGTTTCTGTTGTACTAATAGTTGTGCTCTCAGTTGTGACTGGTGTAGTTGTTTCAGTTGTACTAACAGTTGTGCTCTCAGTTGTTGTGGCTGGTGTAGTTGTTTCAGCTGTAGTAATAGTTGAGCTGTCAGTTGTTGTGACTGGTGTAGTTGTTTCTGTTGTACTAACAGTTGTGCTCTCAGTTGTTGTGGCTGAGGACAATTCTGTTATTATTGGTTCTGGTGTAGTTATTTCAGTTGTACTAACAGTTGTGCTCTCAGTTTTTGTGGCTGGTGTAGTTGTTTCAGCTGTAGTAATAGTTGAGCTGTCGGTTGTTGTGACTGGTGTAGTTGTTTCTGTTGTACTAACAGTTGTGCTCTCAGTTGTTGTGGCTGGTGTAGTTGTTTCTGTTGTACTAATAGTTGTGCTCTCAGTTGTTGTGGCTGGTGTAGTTGTTTCAGTTGTACTAACAGTTGTGCTCTCAGTTGTTGTGACTGGTGTAGTTGTTTCTGTTGTACTAACAGTTGTGCTCTCAGTTGTTGTGGCTGGTGTAGTTGTTTCAGTTGTACTAACAGTTGAGCTCTCAGTTGTTGTGACTGGTGTAGTTGTTTCTGTTGTACTAACAGTTGTGCTCTCAGTTGTTGTGGCTGGTGTAGTTGTTTCAGTTGTACTAACAGTTGTGCTCTCAGTTGTTGTGACTGGTGTAGCTGTTTCTGTTGTACTAACAGTTGTGCTCTCAGTTGTTGCGGCTGGTGTACTTGTTTCAGCTGTACTAACAGTTGTTGTCTCAGTTGTTGTGACTGGTGTAGCTGTTTCTGTTGTACTAACAGTTGTGCTCTCAGTTGTAGTGGCTGGTGTAGTTGTTTCAGCTGTACTAACAGTTGTGCTCTCAGTTGTTGTGGCTGGTGTAGTTGTTTCAGCTGTACTAACAGTTGTGCTCTCAGTTGTTCTAGCTGGTGTAGTTGTTTCAGCTGTACTAACAGTTGTGCTCTCAGTTGTTGTGGCTGGTGTAGTTGTTTCAGTTGTGCTCTCAGTTGTTGTGGCTGGTGTAGTTGTTTCAGCTGTACTAACAGTTGTTGTCTCAGTTGTTGTGATTGGTGTAGTTGTTTCAGCTGTACTAACAGTTGTGCTCTCAGTTGTTGTGGCTGGTGTAGTTGTTTCAGCTGTACTAACAGTTGTGCTCTCAGTTGTTGTGGCTGGTGTAGTTGTTTCAGCTGTACTAACAGTTGTGCTCTCAGTTGTTGTGGCTGGTGTAGTTGTTTCAGTTGTACTAACAGTTGTGCTCTCAGTTGTTGTGGCTGGTGTAGTTGTTTCAGCTGTACTAACAGTTGTGCTCTCAGTTGTTGTGGCTGGTGTAGTTGTTTCAGTTGTACTAACAGTTGTGCTCTCAGTTGTTGTGGCTGGTGTAGTTGTTTCAGCTGTACTAACAGTTGTGCTCTCAGTTGTTGTGGCTGGTTTAGTTGTTTCAGCTGTACTAACAGTTGTGCTCTCAGTTGTCGTGGCTGGTGTAGTTGTTTCAGCTGTACTAACAGTTGTGCTCTCAGTTGTTGTGGCTGGTGTAGTTGTTTCAGCTGTACTAACAGTTGTGCTCTCAGTTGTTGTGGCTGGTGTAGTTGTTTCAGCTGTACTAACAGTTGTTGTCTCAGTTGTTGTGACTGGTGTAGTTGTTTCAGCTGTACTAACAGTTGTGCTCTCAGTTGTTGTGGCTGGTGTAGTTGTTTCAGCTGTACTAACAGTTGTGCTCTCAGTTGTTGTGGCTGGTGTAGTTGTTTCAGCTGTACTAACAGTTGTGCTCTCAGTTGTTGTGGCTGGTGTAGATGTTTCAGCTGTACTAACAGTTGTGCTCTCAGTTGTTGTGGCTGGTGTAGTTGTTTCAGCTGTACTAAAAGTTGTGCTCTCGGTTGTTGTGGCTGGTGTAGTTGTTTCAGTTGTACTAACAGTTGTGCTCTCAGTTGTTGTGGCTGGTGTAGTTGTTTCAGCTGTACTAACAGTTGTGCTCTCAGTTGTTGTGGCTGGTGTAGTTGTTTCAGCTGTACTAACAGTTGTGCTCTCAGTTGTTGTGGCTGGTGTAGTTGTTTCAGCTGTACTAACAGTTGTGCTCTCAGTTGTTGTGGCTTGTGTAGTTGTCTCTGTTGTACTAACAGTTGTGCTCTCAGTTGTGACTGGTGTAGTTGTTTCAGTTGTAGTAACAGTTGTGCTCTCAGTTGTTGTGAGTGGTGTAGATGTTTCTGTTGTACTAACAGTTGTGCTCTCAGTTGTAGTGGCTGGTGTAGTTGTTTCAGCTGTACTAACAGTTGTGCTCTCAGTTGTTGTGGCTGGTGTAGTTGTTTCAGCTGTACTAACAGTTGTGCTCTCAGTTGTTGTGGCTGGTGTAGTTGTTTCTGTTGTACTAACAGTTGTGCTCTCAGTTGTATTGGCTGGTGTAGTTGTTTCAGCTGTACTAACAGTTGTGCTCTCGGTTGTTGTGACTGGTGTAGTTGTTTCAGCTGTACTAACAGTTGTGCTCTCAGTTGTCGTGGCTGGTGTAGTTGTTTCAGCTGTACTAACAGTTGTGCTCTCAGTTGTTGTGGCTGGTGTAGTTGTTTCAGCTGTACTAACAGTTGTGCTCTCAGTTGTTGTGGCTGGTGTAGTTGTTTCAGCTGTAGTCACAGTTGTGCTCTCGGTTGTAGTGGCTTGTGTAGTTGCTTCAGTTGTACTAACAGTTGTACCATCAGTTGTTGTGGGTGGTGTAGTTGTTTCAGCTGTACTAACAGTTGTGCTCTCAGTTGTTGTGGCTGGTGTAGTTGTGTCAGTTGTACTAACAGTTGTGCTCTCAGTTGTTGTGACTGGTGTAGTTGTTTCAGCTGTACTAACAGTTGTGCTCTCAGTTGTTGTGACTGGTGTAGTTGTTTCAGCTGTAGTCACAGTTGTGCTCTCAGTTGTTGTTGCTGGTGTAGTTGTTTCAGCTGTACTAACAGTTGTGCTCTCAGTTGTTGTGGCTGGTGTAGTTGTGTCAGTTGTACTAACAGTTGTGCTCTCAGTTGTTGTGACTGGTGTAGTTGTTTCAGCTGTACTAACAGTTGTGCTCTCAGTTGTTGTGACTGGTGTAGTTGTTTCAGCTGTAGTCACAGTTGTGCTCTCAGTTGTTGTTGCTGGTGTAGTTGTTTCAGTTGTACTAACAGTTGTGCTCTCAGTTGTTGTGACTGGTGTAGTTGTTTCAGCTGTAGTCACAGTTGTGCTCTCAGTTGTTGTTGCTGGTGTAGTTTTTTCAGTTGTAGTAACAGTTGTGCTCTCAGTTGTTGTGGCTGGTTTAGTTGTTTCAGTTGTACTAACAGTTGTGCTCTCAGTTATTGTGGCTGGTGTAGTTGTTTCAGCTGTACTAACAGTTGTGCTCTTAGTTGTTGTGGCTGGTGTAGTTGTTTCAGCTGTAGTCACAGTTGTGCTGTCAGTTGTTGTGGCTGGTGTAGTTGTTTCAGTTGTACTAACAGTTGTGCTCTCAGTTGTTGTGGCTGGTGTAGTTGTTTCAGCTGTAGTAATAGTTGTGCTCTCAGTTGTTGTGACTGGTGTAGTTGTTTCAGTTGTAGCAATTGACTCTGTTGTAGTATATGCTGCACTAGTGATTGATGAAACATCAATAGTTGGTGTGACTGTTGAGTATTCTGTTGTTGGTTCAGTAGTAGAGGTCGTTCCATTTCCATATTCTGATACAAGAAAAAAAATTAACAGTTTTTTGGAACTCATGACAGCACTGACAAAGGAAATACATTTTATAAAGATTGATTTTTTTAGAACACTTATGTAAATGTATAGTAATTTCCAAATAATTTTAAGTTCAGTTAAAACTATCTTTATTTTAGCACTTTGTTTTAACTGTACACGGTCTCACACACACACACACACACACACACACACACACACACACACACACACATATATATTTATATATATATATATATATAGAGAGAGAGAGAGAGAGAGAGAGAGGGAGAGGGAGAGGGAGAGTGAGAAAGAGAAGGAGAGAGAGAATCTGAGAAAGAATTTTTAGACAAATTTCTTCTATGTGTTGTTAGACTTACCTAAACCATTTATTGTAACTGAATTTGATGCTATTTTCAGGGCCGTGACAGTTGCTGTATCACTCAATAAGTCATCTGCAATTTGTTCATTTGATGGCACATACTCTACAGTGTTGAAAGTGAGTATTGTTGTGGTAATGACTGACCCCTTTCTGGAATACATTTTTTAGAATTACTGTCATTTGGAAACCTATTAATCACATGCTCTTGGCACTTCATATAAAATATAAAAATAGGCAATGTATATAAAATATTCAGCTTTACAATATAAAGTATTTACCTGAATCCTTTAATGGTGACTCTTAGGAAGGAGTTGTATTTCGTGTAGATAGCTTGAAGCTGTAACAAAATACAGACAGTTACAATAAACACTTATTAATAGGCTATGCATGATGCATTACATATGTAATGTTTGTAATTAAAAGATAATTGCTTTTTTATTCATTCAAGGATTATGTATTGAACAGAGTATGTAGGTTTTCACTCACATAATTCTGAACAAGCTGAGTCCTGTTGTTAAACGCCTGGGACTTTGAGTCACTAAGGTCATCTGTAAATTCATCTTCAGACACGAACTCCAGGATTATTTGTACTACAGCAGGAGTTGTTGTTTTGGCTGGTGTAGTTGTTTCAGCTGTACTAACAGTTGTGCTCTCAGTTGTTGTGGCTGGTGTAGTTGTTTCAGCTGTACTAGCAGTTGTACTAACAGTTGTGGCTGGTGTAGTTGTTTCAGTTGTACTAACAGTTGTGCTATCAGTTGTTGTGGCTGGTGTAGTTGTTTCAGTTGTAGTAACAGTTGTGCTCTTGGTTGTGGCTAATGTAGTTGTTTCAGCTGTACTAGCAGTTGTGCCCTCGGTTGTTGTGTCTGGTGTAGTTGTTTCAGTTGTACTAACAGTTGTGCTCTCAGGTGTCTTGTCTGGTGTAGTTGTTTCAGTTGTAGTAACAGTTGTGCTCTCAGTTGTTGTGGCTGGTGTAGTTGTTTCAGCTGTACTAACAGTTGTGCCCTCGGTTGTTGTGTCTGGTGTAGTTGTTTCAGTTGTACTAACAGTTGTGCTCTCAGGTGTCTTGTCTGGTGTAGTTGTTTCAGTTGTAGTAACAGTTGTGCTCTCAGTTGTTGTGGCTGGTGTAGTTGTTTCAGTTGTACTAACAGTTGTGCCCTCGGTTGTTGTGTCTGTGTAGTTGTTTCAGTTGTACTAACAGTTGTGCTCTCAGGTGTCTTGTCTGGTGTAGTTGTTTCAGTTGTAGTAACAGTTGTGCTCTCAGTTGTTGTGGCTGGTGTAGTTGTTTCAGCTGTACTAGCAGTTGTACTAACAGTTGTTGTGGCTGGTGTAGTTGTTTCAGTTGTACTAACAGTTGTGCCCTCGGTTGTTGTGTCTGGTGTAGTTGTTTCAGTTGTAGTAACAGTTGTGCTCTCAGTTGTTGTGGCTGGTGTAGTTGTTTCAGTTGTACTAACAGTTGTGCTCTCAGTTGTTGTGTCTGGTGTAGTTGTTTCAGCTGTACGAACAGTTGTGCTCTCAGTTGTTGTGGCTGGTGTAGTTGTTTCAGTTGTACTAACAGTTGTGCTCTCAGTTGTTGTGTCTGTTGTAGTTGTTTCAGTTGTACTAACAGTTGTGCTCTCAGTTGTTGTGTCTGGTGTAGTTGTTTCAGTTGTACTAACAGTTGTGCTCTCGGTTGTTGTGGTTGGTGTAGTTGTGTCAGTTGTACCAACAGTTGTGCTCTCAGTTGTAGTGTCTGAAGTAGTTGTTTCAGTTGTACTCTCAGTTGTTGTGACTGGAGTAGTTGTTTCAGTTGTACTAACAGTTGTGCTCTCGGTTGTTGTGGTTGGTGTAGTTGTGTCAGCTGTACTAACAGTTGTGATCTCAGTTGTTGTGGCTGGAGTAGTTGTTTCAGTTGTACTAACAGTTGTGCTCTCGGTTGTTGTGGTTGGTGTAGTTGTGTCAGCTGTACTAACAGTTGTGATCTCAGTTGTTGTGGCTGGAGTAGTTGTTTCAGTTGTACTAACAGTTGTGCTCTCGGTTGTTGTGGTTGGTGTAGTTGTGTCAGCTGTACTAACAGTTGTGATCTCAGTTGTTGTGGCTGGAGTAGTTGTTTCAGTTGTACTTACAGTTTTGCTCTCAGTTGTTGTGGCTGGAGTTGTTGTTTCAGCTGTACTAACAGTTGTGATCTCAGTTGTTGTGGCTGGAGTAGTTGTTTCAGTTGTACTTACAGTTGTGCTCTCAGTTGTTGTGTCTGGAGTTGTTGTTTCAGTTGTACTAACAGTTGTGCTCTCAGTTGTTGTGGCTGGTGTAGTTGTTTCAGTTGTACTAACAGTTGTGCTCTCAGTTGTAGTGTCTGAAGTAGTTGTTTCAGTTGTACTAACAGTTGTGCTCTCAGTTGTTGTGGTTGGTGTAGTTGTGTCAGCTGTACTAACAGTTGTGATCTCAGTTGTTGTGGCTGGAGTAGTTGTTTCAGTTGTACTTACAGTTTTGCTCTCAGTTGTTGTGTCTGGAGTTGTTGTTTCAGTTGTACTAACAGTTGTGCTCTCAGTTGTTGTGGCTGGAGTAGTTGTTTCAGTTGTACTAACAGTTGTGCTCTCAGTTGTTGTGGCTGGTGTAGTTGTTTCAGTTGTACTAACGGTTGTGCTGTCAGTTGTTGTGTCTGGTGTAGTTGTTTCAGCTGTACTAACAGTTGTGCTCTCAGTTGTTGTAGCTGGTGTAGTTGTTTCAGCTGTACTAACAGTTGTGCTGTCAGTTGTTGTGGCTGTGTAGTTGTTTCAGTTGTACTAACAGTTGTGCTCTCAGTTGTGACTGGTGTAGTTGTTTCAGTTGTACTAACAGTTGTGCTCTCAGTTGTTGTGGTGGTGTAGTTGTTTCAGTTGTACTAACAGTTGTGCTCTCAGTTGTCGTGGCTGGTGTAGTTGTTTCAGCTGTACTAACAGTTGTGCTCTCAGTGTTGTGGCTGGTGTAGTTGTTTCAGCTGTACTAACAGTTGTGCTCTCAGTTGTTGTGGCTGGTGTAGCTGTTTCTGTTGTACTAACAGTTGTGCTCTCAGTTGTATTGGCTGGTGTAGTTGTTTCAGTTGTACTAACAGTTGTGCTCTCAGTTGTTGTGGCTGGTGTAGTTGTTTCAGTCTTACTAACAGTTGTGCTCTCAGTTGTTGTGGCTGGTGTAGTTGTTTCAGCTGTACTCACAGTTGTGCTCTCGGTTGTAGTGCTTGTGTAGTTGCTTCAGTTGTACTAACAGTTGTACCATCAGTTGTTGTGGCTGGTGTAGTTGTTTCAGCTGTACTAACAGTTGTGCTCTCAGTTGTTGTGGCTGGTGTAGTTGTGTCAGTTGTACTAACAGTTGTGCTCTCAGTTGTTGTGACTGGTGTAGTTGTTTCAGCTGTACTAAACAGTTGTGCTCTCAGTTGTTGTGACTGGTGTAGTTGTTCAGCTGTAGTCACAGTTGTGCTCTCAGTTGTTGTTGCTGGTGTAGTTGTTTCAGCTGTACTAACAGTTGTGCTCTCAGTTGTTGTGGCTGGTGTAGTTGTGTCAGTTGTACTAACAGTTGTGCTCTCAGTTGTTGTGACTAGGGTAGTTGTTTCAGCTGTACTAACAGTTGTGCTCTTAGTTGTTGTGGCTGGTGTAGTTGTTTCAGCTGTAGTCACAGTTGTGCTCTCAGTTGTTGTTGCTGGTGTAGTTGTTTCAGTTGTACTAACAGTTGTGCTCTCAGTTGTTGTGACTGGTGTAGTTGTTTCAGCTGTAGTCACAGTTGTGCTCTCAGTTGTTGTTGCTGGTGTAGTTTTTTCAGTTGTAGTAACAGTTGTGCTCTCAGTTTGTGGCTGGTGTAGTTTTTCAGCTGTACTAACAGTTGTGCTCTTAGTTGTTGTGGCTGGTGTAGTTGTTTCAGCTGTAGTCACAGTTGTGCTGTCAGTTATTGTGGCTGGTGGTGTAGTTGTTTCAGCTGTACTAACAGTTGTGCTCTTAGTTGTTGTGGCTGGTGTAGTTTTTCAGCTGTAGTCACAGTTGTGCTGTCAGTTGTTGTGGCTGGTTTAGTTGTTTCAGTTTGTACTAACAGTTTGTGCTCTCAGTTATTGTGGCTGGTGGTTGTTTCAGCTGTACTAACAGTTGTGCTCTTAGTTGTTTGTGGCTGGTGTAGTTGTTTCAGCTGTAGTCACAGTTGTGCTGTCAGTTGTTGTGGCTGGTTTAGTTGTTTCAGCTGTACTAACAGTTGTGCTCTTAGTTGTTGTGGCTGGTGTAGTTGTTTCAGCTGTAGTCACAGTTGTGCTGTCAGTTGTTGTGGCTGGTGTAGTTGTTTCAGTTTGTACTAACAGTTGTGCTCTCAGTTGTTGTGGCTGGTGTAGTTGTTTCAGCTGTAGTAATAGTGTGTGCTCTCAGTTGTTGTGACTGGTGTAGTTTTTCAGTTGTAGCAATTGACTCTGTTGTAGTAGTATATGCTGCAAGTGATTGATGAAACATCAATAGTTGGTGTGACTGTTTGAGTATTCTGTTGTTGGTTTTCAGTAGAGGTCGTTCCATTTCCATATTCTGATACAAGAAAAAAAATTAACAGTTTTTTGGAACTCATGACAGCACTGACAAAGGAAATACATTTTTAAAGATTGATTTTTTTAGAACACTTATGTAAATGTATAGTAATTTCCAAATAATTTTAAGTTCAGTTAAACTATCTTTATTTTAGCACTTTGTTTTAACTGTACACGGTCTCACACACACACACACACACACACACACACATATATATTTATATATATATATATATAGAGAGACAGAGAGAGAGGAGGAGAGAGAGAGAGAGAGGGAGAGGAGAGAGGAGAGTGAGAAAGAGAAGGAGAGAGAGAATCTGAGAAAGAATTTTTAGACAAATTTCTTCTATGTGTTGTTAGACTTACCTAAACCATTTATTGTAACTGAATTTGATGCTATTTTCAGGGCCGTGACAGTTGCTGTATCACTCAATAAGTCATCTGCAATTTGTTCATTTGATGGCACATACTCTACAGTGTTGAAAGTGAGTATTGTTGTGGTAATGACTGACCCCTTTCTGGATACATTTTTTAGAATTACTGTCATTTGGGAAACCTATATATCACATGCTCTTGCACTTCATATAAAATATAAAAATAGGCAATGTTATAAAATATTCAGCTTTACAATATAAAGTATTTACCTGAATCCTTTAATGGTGACTCTTAGGAAGGAGTTGTATTTCGTGTAGATAGCTTGAAGCTGTAACAAAATACAGACAGTTACAATAAACACTTATTAATAGGCTATGCATGATGCATTTACATATGTAATGTTTGTAATTAAAAGATAAATTGCTTTTTTTATTCATTCAAGGATTATGTATTGAACAGAGTATGTAGGTTTTCACTCACATAATTCTGAACAAGCTGAGTCCTGTTGTTAAACGCCTGGGACTTTGAGTCACTAAGGTCATCTGTAAATTCATCTTCAGACACGAACTCCAGATTATTTGTACTACAGCAGGAGTTGTTGTTTTGGCTGGTGTAGTTGTTTCAGCTGTACTAACAGTTGTGCTCTCAGTTGTGTGGCTGGTGTAGTTGTTTCAGCTGTACTAGCAGTTTGTACTAACAGTTGTGGCTGGTGTAGTTGTTTCAGTTGTACTAACAGTTGTGCTATCAGTTTTGTGGCTGGTGTAGTTGTGTTTCAGTTGTAGTAACAGTTGTGCTCTTGGTTGTGGCTAATGTAGTTGTTTCAGCTGTACTAGCAGTTGTGCCTCGGTTGTTGTGTCTGGTGTAGTTGTTTCAGTTGTACTAACAGTTGTGCTCTCAGGTGTCTTGTCTGGTGTAGTTGTTTCAGTTGTTAGTAACAGTTGTGCTCTCAGTTGTTGTGGCTGGTGTAGTTGTTTCAGCTGTACTAACAGTTGTGCCCTCGGTTGTTGTGTCTGTGTAGTTGTTTCAGTTGTACTAACAGTTGTGCTCTCAGGTGTCTTGTCTGGTGTAGTTGTTTCAGTTGTAGTAAACAGTTGTGCTCTCAGTTGTTGTGGCTGGTGTAGTTGTTTCAGTTGTACTAACAGTTGTGCCCTCGGTTGTTGTGTCTGGTGTAGTTCTTAGTTGTACTAAACAGTTGTGCTCTCAGGTGTCTTGTCTGGTGTAGTTGTTTCAGTTGTAGTACAGTTGTGCTCTCAGTTTTGTGGCTGGTGTAGTTGTTTCAGCTGTACTAGTGCGTGTACTACAGTTGTTGTGGCTGGTGTAGTTGTTTCAGTTGTACTAACAGTTGTGCCCTCGGTTGTTGTGTCTGGTGTAGTTGTTTCAGTTGTAGTAACAGTTGTGCTCTCAGTTGTTTGGCTGGTGTAGTTGTTTCAGTTTACTAACAGTTGTGCTCTCAGTTGTTGTGTCTGGTGTAGTTGTTTCAGCTGTACGAAACAGTTGTGCTCTCAGTTGTTGTGGCTGGTGTAGTTGTTTCAGTTGTACTAACAGTTGTGCTCTCAGTTGTTGTGTCTGGTGTAGTTGTTTCAGTTGTACTAACAGTTGTGCTCTC